TCTAAATGCACAGAAACAACAGTTTTTATGACAATGATCTTTAAATTAACATTATTCCTATAGCATGATCTCTAAATGCACAAAAAGAGTTACAGAATTGTTAAGACATGATTTCAGGATGTGCAGGAGTAACAACTTTTATGTTAATACTGTTTATTAACCTAGGGGCATGATTTCTAAGTGATAAACATGTATTAGTATCAAATGAGATGCTGAAGCAGTATGCGTGAAACCTAAGAGCATGATACGATTTGAATGTATTGGTCCTAAAGTAGGGATTCTAATGCAAGTATAAATAAGGTAAAGCTTATAACATGCTTTCTACCTCAATGATATTGATAGAAATATATAACTACCCTCCCCATTTCACTAGTCATCCTCAATATTCGTTTACAAATAATTACTACAGACCAGCTGAATAAATTACATAAATAGATAAAGGAAAAGAAGAAGTTACACTATAGGGAGCCTGAAGCAGGCCCAAATATACCAAACTGTCCATAGCCTCATACGCCAAAGTTTCATAGCCTTACTTATGTCCGGGTGTGTCGGAGTTCCCTAAGGACCTCAAGGCTCCGGACAGTGCTCACACCCAGACTTCATAACCAAAACTGAGTAAGTGCAGTGTGGAAGAGCAAACTCTAGTGCATCAGAGTTCAGAGGAATCTCACAGGGATCCCAAGGCAGTCACACACTGGAGGGGCAGAACTTAAGGACCTAAGAGTAGAGTGAGAGTGCTTGACATAGTTTGAAAAGGTTTTAATAGGAAAGCATTATTTGAAAAAGACTCAGTTGAAGTTGTTTTATAAAATAGGAGAATTGTTCAGTAAAATAGTTTTTGACAAGAGTTGTGTAATCACACAAACATCAGATCAAACATAGAGCTAAAACAAGTTCAGCAACACTAAAATAACAACCCTTCACACGGGGGTAATTGGGGTTGGGAACACATAATACACGTAAACAGAAGTCTTTGCAATTAAGGGGGTGGCTAATAGTGCAAACGGTAAGACATGGATTCAGGGGTGCTAATTAGAACATAGTTATAGAATCAGAGGTGCTTTATGGGGTTCATGGGATTGGGGATAGCTAATGATACAACACAGTAAGAATTTCAGAACTAACATAGAATCAGACAACTTAGGGTAACAAAAATTGCTTTGCAAAGAAAGGTTCATACTAGAGACTAAATAACAAGTAAACCAACATTCAAAAACAGGGTAGAGTCAAATTTAGACAGACTACAAGTTCATAAGACATGCTGATCCTAAAAGGGGTAGGACATAACTAACAAGCTAGGTGAAGTGATGATAGGCTATAATTGCATATTTTAGTCGCTTATTACACTCGAATTTACTGCACTTTAATTGAGTTTGCGCTTTAATCGCTAGTGTTTTGCACAAATTGTGTGTTTTATGCCTTGTAGGTGTGATTCCGAGCTATATAGATGTTATGAAATGAATTTAAGTGATTTGAAGCTTTGAAGTCTGAGTAAAAGCTCAAGGAATTAAGCCGGGATCGTGTTCGGGGGTCAAATTTGATAATTAAGTACGAACGAAGACTTGAGGAGGCATATTGCGCACTGTCTAGTAACATAGACATAACTTTTTGCTCAGAACTACATTTGGGCTCCACGATATATGGTTGGAAAGCTAACTCAAAGGGATACAACTTTCATGTTTTACGTTTTTCCAAATTCCAAACGGAACAGGGTGAAAAACCGCGGTTTTTCCGCGACCGCGGCAGAACCGCGGTAGAAGATGGTCGCGGACAACTGAAGAATCAGAGGGCATGTTTGGCCACGGTTCCACTGCGACTGCGGCAAAACCGCGGCAGGAAGCGAAAATTTCAGGGACTAAAGTGCAAAACATAGGATTTTAAGTCCTAAACCCTATATTAAACAAAGGAGGCCGGCCAAGAACAAGAGGGGGACATATTTTGGACACAAAATAGACCTAAGGAGGCAGGAGACACTACTTTAGGGTTAGACAACACCCTCGGAGGCAAGAACACATCGGGATCAAGGCGGAGAATTCTTCTACGAGTTTTTTCCTTCCTCTTCCTATTTTTCATTGTTGGTTATGACTTTTAGTATTGTAGTTTTACATACTATTATGAATAGCTAATTTGTTATCTAGAGTTTTGATAGAACCTTTTGTAGGATAAATTCTTGTTATGTTTTTATATAATTGAGCCACAGCTTTTCTCTATTTATTCAACTACGTTTATATTGTGGTTGGTTGAATAGCTCTCAATTAGCTGTGCCTATTTAGTATGCATAACTCGGGAGAGAGTGCATATTTAGGTAATTGTTGAACAACACCACTCCCAGAGTATATGAGGGATCAATAACCGAGGGTTTAAAGGTGGGATTAGGGATAACGAAGCCTTGGGTGCGATCTGAAGCGAGCCGTATTAAAAGTCAGCTAGCGTAGCTCGGGAGAGTGCGTCTAGTAAATTGTCGTAATTACTCGGGAGAGATTTACGGTAATAAGAGTGCTCATGATCGGTAGAGAATACTTAGGCAAAATTATAGAAGACATAGCGGGAAAGATTCCGACAATTGGGGAAATCATAACTCTAGACCTCCTTAATCTTTTCTCTAACCCTCAGTGTCGTTAGTTGTTAATTTACTATTTTAATTTGTTAGTTAATTAGTTAAACACAAGAATCTTAATATCTATAAGTTAGGAATTGTTCAAGCTTGTCTTCTTGGTGATAGTGAACAACTGTAGCTAAACCTTAGTTCTCTGTGGGATCCGACTCCGGACTTGTAAACCGGATTATATTTGCGACGATCGCATTGTCCTTTTTATAAGGCATAGTTGGGCGTGATCATGAAGCAATATGTCAATTACATGTTAAACAACAAATCAATAGATAGAAACATATTAGGAATATGATAAACCGAAGCAGTAGGAAACACATTGGTTTGAGAGCTTGAATTTAAAATCAGAACATACCAGTAAAGAGAGTAAACAAAGGTGAAAAACAGGAGAGTGTAATAATTAGCCTTGGCTTGCAGCCGGCTAATTTAGTAACAATAGTAAGTAACAAAAGAAAGCAGACGGGCTTTTGAGTGTATGAGAGATGTGAACTAATGTGAGTCCGTGTGTCTGTAAGACTGTAGAAGAGAGCAATATATATAGTAGTTTGAAAGCTAGGTAAATAAGGTAAGAATCAAAATTGTTCAGTAATTATAGAACTTAGAGTAAAATCAGTCCAAGTCTTCCCTTAATTAAGGGAATTAGTTCAAACGGTAAAGAGCAGGTGACAAGTAAGGAAAGAAATCATACATAGCTGGAGTATAACAAATAAGGAAGACTTCACACAGTGCAAGTATAGAACATGTAATTAGCGCTAGGTCAGAAAGTCCTAATTAAGGAAACAATATTAAGAATCAGTAAATAATGTAGTCAACCACATAATAAGGCAAGAAGATAATTAGAAGTCGGAAATCAATACAGAATATCATCACATGAAATCAGTAAAGGGTATCGATCACAGGAAATCAGGGATTCAAATAAAAGTAGTACTAATTAAGGGAAATTAATATAAATTTTTGTGAATAAACAAAAATAGACATAATATAGGCAAGAAGAATCAAGTCAGAAACCCTAATAAGCACAATAGGGTAAACTTGCGGAGACTCGAAACATATTTATGAGAAACAGATATTCTGACGAATCGAATGAACAAATCAACAAAGACAGACTCAAAATTATAGCATAGTGTTAAAACTAGGGTTTTAACATAAGAAAATATGATTAAAAAGCAATTTTAATAGAAAGTCGTTTAAACATATGAGAATCAGAGAACGACATTAAAAGACCAGAGATATGTTTTGAAGAAAAGTTCCAGAAACCCTAAGGGGAAAATAAAGCGACGCTTTAAGAAATCGAAAGGTTTTTCATAAAAAAAACGAAAATAGTTCAGAAAAAACCTCAGATCTATTATAGATCTAAGAGGTACATGAGAAGAGATTAGGGTTTTCTAGAAAAATAACCCAGAAATGGAGAGACCGGCTTAGAAACCCATAGGTTTAGCCGAAAAATAAAAAGATCTTACTCAATCGGGCCATGGTGGCCTGAGAATGGTGAGGACAAGCCCAGGGGTGAGTGAACGGCCACTGGTCCCTTGAGGACCTCAGGATAGCAAGAGTTCCGGTCATGGGAAGGGAGCTATTAAGGCTAGGAGTGGTGGTGAACCACCATAATCAACGGCGAGCAAGCAACGACGGGTGGAAGCCATGGTTAGGGTAGAGGGAGCTTGAGAGAGAATGAGAGGAGTGACGGCGGGTGAGGATGAGAGAATAGTAAAATCAGATAGACCCGATTTTAACCGTATACAATGACTTTAGTGAAATAGAGTTATAGTTATATAACAATTGAAATTACCCTTCAGGCCAATAAAGTTTTGAGTTTAATTTTAAATTCTTGCACACCGTCTACTCAAGTCAGATGAACCTTTGGGTACATCAATAGACGAATTATTTACCCTTGTGCTCAATGGTTTGTTAGTAATAGTGCTCCATGTTTCTAATCGATACAATCATCAAAAAGTGCAAATTCAATTTACAAAAAGGAAAGAAAGAAAAATTTACATAATACATCTTTTCTTTTCAGAAATTTGAGGGTACATTGTGGTGTTTTATTTCTTTTTGGTCAACAAGCAAAGTTATATACTCCTATGAACACAACGGTACGACCTAATATGAAAATCCAACTTATTTTACTTTTCGTTATAGTTAAACAAATAAAAAATTTACTTCTAGATATTTTACCAAAATGAGTACTAAATAGTAGCTTTTAATATTGCTTCTCAAAAGGGAAAAGTGGCATATAAGGTAGAGAACAAGAAAAATGACCCGGATCCAAAACAGACTTCCAAATCGCCGTTGATTAAATACATAGATCAACGGCTGTCAACAACGATCCGCGTCACTCCGCATTAACCAATCACAACTCCTGTCTAAATCACTATAAAACCAAAACGCTCTACTTGTTTTCTCCTCACACCTCAACCATTCATCAATCGAAGTCCTTTCTTTTTCGCTCTAAAAAAACTCCTTGTTTATTTTCTCTATCTTCCTGACAATGGCACCAAAAGCTGAGAAAAAGCCCGCCGAGAAGAAACCAGCAGCAGAAAAAACCCCCGCCGCAGAGAAAGCTCCGAAGCCAAAGGCCGGCAAAAAACTACCGAAGGATGGCGGAGCTGCCGCTGCCGGAGACAAGAAGAAGAAGAGAGCCAAAAAGTCGGTTGAAACTTACAAGATCTACATCTTCAAGGTGCTGAAACAAGTACATCCTGATATAGGTATTTCAAGTAAAGCTATGGGTATAATGAACAGTTTCATCAACGATATCTTCGAGAAGCTTGCTCAGGAATCTTCTAGACTTGCTAGGTACAACAAGAAGCCGACTATTACTTCTCGGGAAATTCAGACTGCTGTGAGACTTGTACTTCCTGGTGAATTGGCTAAGCACGCCGTTTCTGAAGGCACTAAGGCTGTTACTAAATTCACTAGCTCTTGAATGTTGGATTAGGGTTTGGTTCTGTTTGTTTGGTCTTATTAGGGTTCTGTCGATGTAAAAATAGTTTAATTAGTTTGCTTTTAAGTAAATCTATTGTAATCGACTGAGTTATGAATGGAATTAATCAGCTTTCTACATTGATTTTGCTTGATTTTGAATTATGATGTTTTATGTGTTTACTTATAATTACTGTAACTATTTTGTTTGCAATGATAAGCTCTTTATTATTTATGCAAAATTGCCATGTTTTCTTAAAAGAGAACTTTCTTTATTAATGTAATATCGTATAAGACATATATTTGGTTATGAACTTTTACAGAATTAACACAATCTTTATTCTGACTTTGTCTTTTATGAAAATAATATGCTATTTTATATTTCTTTCGTTGCAAAAGGAAATGAGTATTAGTTTTTTTCCTCAATTGGATTGTCAAAGTTTTGAATAAATTGTACTGCTAGATAATTAGACAACTATATAGAAAGCGGTACTGCTGTATAAATCATTTCACAATTTTTTTTGTAATTTAAAACATAATAATTTAGTAAAAAGAATTTTGATTTAATTTAAGACATTTCATTATTAACTTAGTAATTTTTTTTTATACTTTGGGAAGTACTTTGGTCACGGGTTAAGCCCACAAGCTAAAGTGCGCATCTGCACTCAAGCTAAAGTGCGCCTCTTTTGGTGACGTATTCTATTCCTAACCACACTCGTGAGCTTATCCTCAGTCTCACATCTCACAACCATAAAAGGAACTTTGAAACCAACCAAATCCCTATTTCTTTCTGTGAAAATCCATGGCGCTGAGTTCAGCTTCTTCTTCATTTACAAATCTAAGCTACATTCCCTTCCAATACAAAAACCCTAGATTCCCTACAACCTCTGTTCCTTATGCATTATTGAACTTAACCTCTTCGTCTGAGGATTCTTCAAAGCGTTCACTCCGCATTACAGCTGATTCTGCTCCCAAAGCTCGATTCATTGCCCGACGTAAAGAATCTCTATCCGTTAAGCAGCTTCAACGTCCGCTAAGTAAGTTTCTAGAACATTCTACCTTTTTTTTCTCATTCTGTTCATGCAGTTGACTCTAATTTCACAAAGTATAATCTAAATTTAGAGTTAAGAGTCTAAAATCATTGCAAATGCAACAGAAGGGTCATAGTTGCTTTCTTCAAGTACAACTTTTGTACTCACTTTGTTTTAATTTATGTGAATCTATTTGATTGAGCATGGAGTTTAAGAAAAAAGTGAAGACTTTTAAACTTGTGGTGTTAACAATGTCATAACATTTACATGGTGATAAGTCTATTGAAATGTCTTAAACATGCCATAACATTTATGTTTTTATAAAAATTGTCGCTAAAGGGTAAAATGAGAAACTTAAAATTAAATTATTTCCTAATTTAGAATAAGGTAGTTCTTTTTTGGAACAAGGTAAAAAGGAAATCGGGTCACGTAAACTGGAATGGAGGGAGTACTAACGAATAATTTGAAAATTATTCATATAGCTTCTGTTAAATTGCGATGTAGTTGAATGAATGTTTGAAGCAGTGAGTTTTGGTACTGGTACTGTTTGATTCTTCTGAGATTTTCGTTTTAATCTTTTTGTTGATTTAGTGGAGTATATGAGCTTGCCGGCAAGCCAGTACTCGGTGTTGGATGCTGAGAGGATTGAACGAGTGGATGATAGTACATTCAGGTGTTACGTGTATAGGTTCAAGTTTTTTGCATTTGAAGTGTGTCCTGTTTTGTTGGTTAGAGTTGAGGAGCAGCCTGATGGATGTTGTATCAAGCTGTTGTCTTGCAAGGTATATTGCAACTTATATGCTCAATAATGGATTTTCCAGTTGCTTTAACATTTTTACTAATTTATGGCCATCTTATAATTATTTGTATTCTTTGATTCTCAGCTTGAGGGATCTCCTATTGTGGTTGCCCAAAATGATAAATTTGACGGTATGTAGTCTTTGTAAGTGCTATTTCTATCATTTTGAATATTTGTGCGCGAGTCGCTTTAAAAGTGGAAATGTTATCGCGTTCAAAGAGCACTTTTTCGGTAAGATCTTCAAAAAAGATGCACTGGTTCCACCAGGCTGCAATTTCATTTATTTGTTTTATATTGGTCCGTAGAAGTGAGATAATGCAGTTAGAACCGCATTACTCTTTCTGGGTTCAAATTGATGCTGCACTCACTTTGATTTGTATATTGCTGTATATCTTTCTGAGAGCACATTCTTCTTAGAGGTGTTGTACTTTTGCATTTGCGTATAAGTTCTCTGGGAATCAACAGGGAACACATTTGATGAAGAAACAAAATATTGGCGAACAATTTAAGTTTTTTTTCTCCTCTTAACTAGTCATGAATGTCTACATTATTCCGATCAATCCTTTTTCCTGACATGCCATATGTTGAATAATGTATGCAAAGTCAAAATATGTGTTGTTCTTTTAATAATGAAACCATAAGTGGCACTAGATGTTCGAGATCTTCTGAAAACTATAGTCTTAGTCTCATTGCATATCAAACGGAAAACAATAACTCCTGTTTAGAGGATGACTGCTTTAGAACTGCCTGTCAGTTAAGCGCACCAATTGTTACCTTTCTTCCTGTAAAAGCTGAAATAGCTACATTTGTCATCCTCTTCAAAGGTTGGATACTTTCATACTATCGGAAAGGTGATGCAGCATAAGTTAGCTTTTCTGATTTATGGTAAATCTAGGATTCTGATGGTCAATTAACGGATAATTTGCTTGTGGCATCAACTTGGGGAGGAAAACTCGATGTCCATATAAGTTCAATTTCAGTGAAAACACAGTTTCAACATGTTTCCTAAACTTCCACTAAGCTGTCGGTGAAAGTTTCTGTTGAGAATATTGTAAAGATAATTGACGTAACATGAATCAATTCACTATGCTCGTCTTTAGTTTACTTATTTTGTCGAATTACCTTGAGGTGAAGTGGTCTCTTTTTTCGTCGGCAAAAGAACTTGACGTGACAAGTTGTCATCTGGAATAATAATTGCTCTCTTCGTGTGTGTGTCGATTCTGAATTTTATTACATAATTCTTTTCAGGAGTGCTTTGACACTGATTTGGTATGGGCATGCAGCTTCTATGGTGAACAAAATTTCGTATGATAGCGGGCGAAGAGACTCACCTGTGCAGCAACTCACTTCAGATGCTGTTATTGAGGTACTGGCTGAGCGGTATTGCAATAAGAGTAAACACATCACAACATTCGTTAGATTGTGTCACTTCTGATCGATTATTTATGCAGGTTAACATTGAAATTCCCTTTGCCTTTCGAGCAATCCCAGTGCAGGCAATTGAATCAACTGGTGCTCAGGTCCTAGATCAGATACTGAGGATCATGCTTCCTCGGTTTATGGCACAGGTTTGTTGGTTCATTGTCCACTTGACTTTTTCTTCATAGTTCCCTTTCTGTAAATTTTGTTCTTGTACTATAATTCTATAAACTATTTGCAGCTACTTTTCTTGTCATTTCCCTGCTCCAACTCTTTAAATGCTAGTCCCTTCCATTAAGTTGGCATTTGAATCTAATAAAAGACCCTCAACATCGTTTTAACCTTATTGTTTCACTTTTATATTTGACTCTAGTGTCTCTTACTTTTTCACTATGTTTCATCGTTACTTCCTTTTTTTTCATCACCATCCTTTTTTCTTTTTTTTTCCCCTCAATAAGTAATGATATTTTATGAATGGTATAACAGCGCTAAGACAGTGTGTTAAACGTTACAGAGTGTGCAATGCCTCGATCATATCTAACATGGAATCTTCATCGTTTACAAAGGCCATGTTGCACCAAAAAGCTAACAAAGAAATACAATTCTAAGACTATGCATGTTGCTAAATTTGCCTTCAAAAATTCTATTTTTTCATCACAATCTTCCTCACATTCTTCGTCTTTTTAACCCGGAGCAACTATTGTCACAAGTCATTATTGAAACATTACAGAAAGTAACAGGCACAAACAAAATTGATTTTCCGGTTGTGCTAACTCCATATGAGGCTGTACCGGGAACATGCAGCTACCACTTCCTAATGGCACTAAGATGAAGTACGAAACTAGTATATCCTTTTAATTGATGGAGAATACCATCTGATTGGATTCACCCAAAGTTGAGAATGTAATGTGGATACATCTTATTAGTAAGGGTAGCTTATTAGTCGATCTGTCTCAGTATATGGATTTTCTGGAATTGTTAGGAGGGCTGTAGCGGATGATTACTGTTTCCGGGATGCTGTTGTATCTTTTTGTACCACCTTGGTACCTGATGAATAAAATTTACCTTATCAAAAAAAAATGGCACTAAGGTAAAGTACGGAACTAGTATATCCTTTTAATGGATGTAGAACGACCATCTGATTTGATTCACCAAAAGTTGAAATTTTAATGTGGATACATCTTTTTGCTTTTGCTTGGACTGAGGCGATGTTGATATGTTTTTTCGCTTTTATCGTTCCTTGTTATTTTAAAGCACTTACTTTACTTAGACATCTCTTATTTTTAACTTTGTTGCGGGTATATTACTGCCCTTCCTAATGCAGTATATATGAGATCATTTTGTTTGGTTTAAATAGTTCAATGAAAGGGTAGTTTTATTGTGTAGTAGGCCCTAGAAAATTTTCTTGTCATCAAGAAAGTTTTGACAAGAAAATAAGGAAAATAGACAGATAGGTGTCGTACTGAGGAAAGAAGAACAGAAGGGACAGAAAATGCCGCCAAGATTTAAAAGGTGGGATAGCCTGTTGGGAAGGGGCCTCTTGTGCCACCTGCAATTATGATGATGATGATGATTCGAGTAACCAAGAGAGTAATGTGGGAGAAGCCACTGTCCGACTTCTAGGTAGACTGGTTTCTGTTTAGGTTGTGTTTAACCCAATGAGCGTTCTAGCGTAATGTTTAGAGCATTGGAGGGAGAAATTCCAATGAATTATAGTTTTCGGAGTAATGTTTTATTGATATCAGGGTGGGGGGACCGAATGCACACGGTATACAAAGATTAGAGGACCTACACAAAATATGGGTCTATGAAATGAACCAACTAAAAATATAACAGAAACTTTGTGGGTGCACAAAAAAATGACCAAAAGCAAAAGGCATGCCTTAACTATACAAA